CAAAACTAAAACATCATGCTTCTCATATTTTCACACATACATAATCAGTACCTCCCCGATCATAAGAGGTGACATCTCCTTTATCGACTGATCGCTCAACTCAGATCAAAATTCTCCCTTCCACTGACTCCTTACTAGAATACTCTGAGGGGCTCTCGGTCTCCCTCTCAAGGGACGCCTCTTCGAACTTACTCGTGATCGAATAACCGAAGAACCACAAACATCATTCACTACGAACCATGGTACTCATTCCATGACATCTCTTCTCAATATGCCCCGGTGTATGGTACCCTAACCATAACATCACTCCCCAATCCGCTCCGATGTATGGTACCCGGACCATAACATCACTCCTCAATCCGCTCCGATGTATGGCACTCGAACCATAACATCACTCCTCCATCCGCTCCGATGTATGGTACCCGGACCATAACATCACTCCTCAATCTGCTCTGATGTATGGTACCCGAACCATAACATCACTCCTCAATCTGCTCTGATGTATGGTACCCGAACCATAACATCACTCCTCAATCTACTCTAATGTATGGTACCCGGACCATAACATCACTCCTCAATCTGCTCTGATGTATGGTACCCGAACCATAACATCACTCCTCAATCTGCTCTGATGTATGGTACCCGAACCATAACATCACTCCTCAATCTGCTCTGATGTATGGTACCCGAACCATAACATCACTCCTCAATTTGCTCTAATGTATGGTACCCGAACCATAACATCACTCCTCAATCTGCTCCTTAGAATCTTCAGAATACTCCCTGTATCAAGTATGGGTCCTCTGCTTTCAGTAGTACGGGCCCATACTACCTGCCACATCTACCCATACTTTCCACACGGACCATCCCAGAGCTTCTGAGTAGCTGCTCGACCTGCCCTTTCTCTAATCCCATTGCGCGTGCTCGCTCCCCAGCGAAATTCTCTACTCTGCAAGCGCACTCATCTGGCTAGGGTTACTCCCTAGGCTCTTCCGTTGTCCTCCCCCTTCTTTGCTATCAGCTACTGAAGAGCTCCTAATGATGCCAGCCATCTACCTCCTGAATATCGTCATATTCACTTGGTAGCTGACTCCCATCATCGAGAGTTCCACAAAGCACAAAGCAAGCAGCATTCGAGCATCGAAGAATACATAGGACTCCCTCTCTGTGATAACTCCAACTTCTCGGCTCATCCTCAAAAGTACCACCGAACTTTGTAACTTTACCCCTCATGGGTTCTAACTGGATACTCTCACTCATCACATACTCAAAAGCATAACACATATAACAATGAGTCCTAGGCTAAGGCATCACAAATCAGGCCACTCTAGTCCTAACATATGAAATACCTAGCCTGTCTCTAGCATGCAATAATATCTCATAAAGAGAATCATACATATCTCATAACACAAAAATAAGGGTATTTTGGGAAATCACCGTTCGGGCTCTGGCTGATTGTACACACTGCTCCTTCTTGCTTTCTCTTTGAACTCTTATTCACTTTTAGAAAATTATTTCTTTAAAAACTTTTCTTACTTCCTCAGTTTGAGTCCAGATTTACCCGAAGGCGCATCCGAATCCCTCAAACCAAGGCTCTGATACCAACTTGTAACACCGTAAATTTCAAGACAAAATTTTCATTTAAAATAATCATTTTATTCTTAGAAACACTTGTTTAAAATCTCATTCATAGTCGATTTACAAAACATGACTCCATTTTCACTTGCATAGAAAACCAGGATCTTCCATAAATATGACTCTTTCTCTGGTGTGTACAATCAAGCCGGTGCCGTCCCGTGATACTGAAAGAAACCTGAAAAAAAACATCACACAAAACACTGTAAGCACGAAGCTTAGTGAGTTCCCCAAAATACCACACATAACACATATTAGCCACTCGAGGCTATAACTCTATGGGTCCGTGCACCCAAACTCTGAGAACCCTCAGGTTCTAACTCTGGGAACCTTCCGGTTCCAACTCTATAAACATGCACAACATAAATCACATAGAAATAATGCAGCACAACACATCACATACATATAGCATACAAATACTCTGATCACATAACTCTGGTTACCTACTCAAGGTAAAGTATAGTGAGAAGACTCACCTGGCAAGCAGAAAACATATATCCCCACACTTGAATCTCGAACCCGCCACCGCCTAACACGTAAGGAAGATACTCTCATGAATATAACACTCGAGACTAGAATCAACCCTATCATGGCACCCTCTTAAGGGTAAAGGACTATTTTACCCCTCTCTTGGCCCAAAGGCCACATCGCTGACCAAGCCCTAAAAGTCAACGGTCAACTCTTGGTTCTAGTCAAAGTCCTCCGTCAAAGTCAACCCTCCTGCTTGACCCTGCTCGCCGAGTCAACCCATCGACTCGTCAAGTCCCCGTGCTCAGAACTTCCCCAATCCGCGACTCAACTCGCCGAGTCACCCCGAGACTCGCCGAGTCCCACAACTCTGAGTCCACTCACACACAACTCACCGAGTCATCCCTTGACTCACCGATTCTCGACTCAACCAGGAAATATTTGGGACTCTTCGACAAGACTCGTCGAGTCCAAGAACAGACTCGCCGAGTCTACGACTATCTTCAACCTACTCGCCGAGTTGTTCATACAACTCGCCGAGTTCCAGGCCATCTTCATCCAACTCGTCGAGTCCACCCATGTGACTCGCCGAGTACCACCGGTCTGAATCCACTCAGAAGCACTCCAGGCCATGCAATTGATCCAAAACATAGATCTAGTCTCCTACAACCCATCCATCACGTAAAGTGGCAAACTTTACGTGAATCCAAGGAGATTTAAGCCATTTGCACATTGGGCTAGGATTTGGGACAAGATGGCTCCATCAACCACTCACAAACAAGGACTTTCATGCACTCTAGACCTTCTCCCTTCCAGATCTGAGGTAGCAACCTCAGATCTAACCTCTAAACTCCAATACATCCAAAGATATGATCTCCAACACCCCCAAAATGATGCATCTAAGAAATAGCAGCTCAAAAAAACGAGATATTACCTCAAAGGAATGCCCCAACTAAAATGAGACTCGAATCAAAACAAAGCCCCTTGCTCCAAGCCTTCAATCTCCCAAAACTCCTTCACAATTACTTCTCCAAGCTCCAATCCATTCAACAATGGTGCTTCTTCGTGATTTAGGGTTTTCTGGGGCTCAAGGGGTGATAAAGAGGCTGGGAGGGAAACATAATGATCTTTATATAAGGCCCAACCCCGAGAATTAAGGTTTTCTCCACTCAGCGCCTACTCGCCGAGTCCATTACACTGACTCGCCGAGTCGGTCACTTAACACGCGACCAAGTCGCGACTCTACTCGCCGAGTCCACACATGGACTCGCCGAGTCACTCTTTCCCAATTTACTCTTTTAGCCCTTCAACTCTACTCTTGATATTTCGGGATGTTACATCTCTTTTTAAACGATAGTATTATATCATATGTTCTTCACAAAGACAAACAACTTACAAAAGTAAAATGTTTAATACCGTAATAAATAAGAAAAAAGTCTTGAAATTCCAACCTTTTACACTTAACGTTTGGAATGAGAAAGCATACTTTAATTTTGTCCTGTTACATTGTATTTTTTGCTTATTTGTTTATTATAGCGTCCACATTCTTCCTGAATGATTTCCAGTTTTCTAGAAGCTCCAACCAATGCACATACCATTATTACAATGTTGTTTCAGCTTTTGGCAGAATATACCGATCCCATTATAAGTGTATTAGTGATGTTCATGTGCTTTACTCAAATAAATAAGCTGAATATCTTTTATTATAAAATCTAGAGTAAATTACATTTTTGGCCCCTTTGGTAGGCCTTTTTTTGCAATTTTAACCCTATGAGGTTTTTTGTTGCAATTTTTGTTCTTATTTGAGGTTTCTTAAAACATTTTTTTTTTGTATATTTTTGAAGAAAATTATTATTTTTACAGTCAAAATTGTATATTTACAAATACTTTTATTTTTCCTTAAACAACATGTTCTTGTCATTAGACATATCTTCTAAACGTTTTAACATTTGTGGAAAGAAAATATTATAAAAGTAACCAAAATCAATTAGAAAATATTTTAGTTTAAATTTGAACTTTGTAATATGACACAGTAGACATGTTTGGTCATTTATATTGAAATTCTTTTATTTACAACATGGATTAAATATTTTAGCTTATATTTTTAAAAGTAAATGATAAAAATTAAGATAAAGTACAACTACTTAGAACACAAAGTAAAAAAATATATATATAAGTGGAAGTAAAAAGAAACAAATCCATCTAAAATAATATCAATACAATTAAAATTAACATTTTTATAATTACAGTCATTTAAGTTTCGAAATAAATTAATGTTTGCAAATGTATTATTATTGGTAAGGCTTTAAAGTTGTTTTAAGATATCCGGTTTGATAAAATTCATTAAATTTTTTACCCGTGATTCTCACGGGTTGTAACCTAGTATCATAATAATACAAGAAAAATATATAAAAATTCTTAAAATTTTTGTAAAAACTATTGTTTATATTTAAATAACTTTCTATTGTTTTTAAAGTTGCCTAAATTAAAGTTACCTAATTAGCAATTCATTTTCCTTGGAAGTGATAAGACATAGAAAGGAATAAATAAATAATTAAACCTAATATGGCAGATATCCTCTTTTGTCGTTTAATTCATTAATCTGTATATATCATTTAAATAAAGCTAATCCGGCAGATATCCTCTTTTGTCGTGTAATTCATTAATCTGTATATATCATTTACCAAACGATCGAAAGAACACAACAAAAAAAAAACAAGAAAAATAAAGACGACATGCCTGCTCTCCAATTTAAATTAATATTATAAATAACAATTGATGACGAGAAATGGACATGAATAACCAATTGATGAGAGTTAGAAACGTTTTGTTATGAAAGCGTTCTACAGATTCAACAAAAGCGATATAAAAGAAGTTTATTTAATCAATCATGCAACCAATCATAAAATTTCCATGGTCAAAACTGAACAAACGATAACAACATTATTTCATGTTAAAGAAGACTTCGATTTTGCTTTTTCCATTGCTTGCCTATAAAATAGACAAATGTTATGTATTAATTGCACAGGCTTCCATGGGTTCGATACAAAAGAAGCCACATGTCTTGTGCATACCAGCGCCAGCACAAGGCCATATTAACCCCATGCTAAAAGTTGCTAAAATCCTCCATTCCAAAGGCTTTCATATTACCTTCGTTAACACCGAGTTCAACCATCAACGACTCCTCAAATCTCAGGGCTCCGACGCCCTACATGGCCTCCCTTCCTTCTGTTTTGAATCCATTCCAGATGGCCTTCCGCCACCAGAAAACCCTGATGCCACCCAAGATGTTCCATCCTTATGCAAGTCCGTCGATGGAACTTGCTTGGGTCCCTTTAAAAGTCTCCTCACAAAACTGAATGCTTCATCTTCTCCGGTGACTTGCATAGTGGCTGACGTCCTTATGGGCTTCACCTATGATGCCGCTACTGAATTTGATATCCCCGAGATAGTCTTATGGACCAGTGGTGTTAGTTCTCTTATGTGTCTTCATGAGTATCCCAATCTTTTAGAGAGAGGTTTGATGCCAAAAGGTAATTAATATACACTCAATCTTTGTTCAAATATAGATATATATGTACACATATTTGGTTGCTAATTTGAAGCTAATTTCGTTATTTCTTTATACAGAATCGGGTGTTTTAGAAGATGGGTATTTAGATACCACGATAGATTGTCTACCAACCATGCCTGGTATACGTCTAAAAGACATGGTTTCATTCTTTAGAAATACCAACCCTGGTGACGAATACATGATTCAGTTTTTGTGTGTACAAGTTGAGAGAGCGAAAAGAGCTTCTGCCGTTATATTCAACACCTTTCATGAACTAGAAAGTGAGCTTTTGGAGATGCTTGGTTCGATATTTCCTCCATGCTATGAAATTGGTCCTTTGAATTTACTAGAGAAGATACTTGTTGATGAATCTGTATCATCGCTCAAATCAAATCTTTGGAAAGAAGATCACGAATGTTTGAAATGGCTAGATTCTAAACCACCATCTTCAGTTATTTATGTGAATTTCGGTAGCATCACAGTGATGACACATCAACACCTAGTCGAGTTTTGTTGGGGACTTGCGAAGAGTAATTATTCGTTCTTATGGATAATACGTCCAGACCTTGTCGTTGACAACTCTGCCATGCTTCCACCAGAGTTTTTGGAAGAGACAAACATTAGAGGGATGTTGGCTAGTTGGTGCCCACAAGAACAAGTTCTGAATCACCCATCGATTGGAGGATTTTTAACACACAGTGGATGGAATTCGACACTTGAAAGTATTTCCAGTGGAGTCCCAATGATTTCTTGGCCATTTTTTGGTGATCAACAACCAAATTGCTGGTCGTGTTGCAATAAGTGGGAGGTTGCCATGGAGATTGACAATGATGTAAAGAGAGAAGAAGTTGCTAAGCTTGTCATTGAGTTGATGAATGGAGAAAGGGGAACCGAGTTGAGGAAGAACGCAATCGACTTGAAGAATAGGGCTGAAAAAGCATGTGCCTCTCCTTTTGGTTCATCCATTGTTAATTTGGATAAAGTAATTCATCTGCTACAAACATCTACAAAATAGTTCATTGTCTATTTATGATTCATTTGTATTTGTCATATTCTACAGAGGAACATTGGTTTACTAAAAGTGATCGATGTTAGGTTGTAGATGTAATTTCATTGGTTTGCCTTAATTTGGATGACGAAATTATTGTTGTTTGTGTTGATGTGACATTTTTTTGTAGATAAAGAAAAAAGGGTAGGGACATTCATGACATCGATACAGTTTGACCGCATAATACCAAATCATTTAAGGTTAAGCTTACCGGAAAAATTATTCCAAAATATATATATATATATTATAGGAGGAGGCAGGTATGAAATGTATACAGTTTGACCTTTTAAGTATCATCCTCGTATGAATAAAAATCCATTAAAGTGACCATAGAACCATTTTTGCAACGAATTTTGATTTAGCAGCACTGGTTGAACAAACAAAATAAAATAAAACAAAATAAAACAAAATTCAAAGGTGTAGTGCAAATGATTTTAGGGGTTGAACTTCAGAGTTACAATATACGGGAAATTTGTGGAGCAGCACATGTTACCTCTCGATCCCTCCTGCCACTACTTAGCAATATATTTATGATTTCTCCCACGAAGTATGTGATGATAACAGAAGTGATCCTTCAACTAAAATAAGATGTTAATATGAAGTGTGGTTATCTTTCTCATTAAATAACTAGCAGTCAAGACACAAGGAACGTCTTTTCGCTTTAGAGCACCATTATTAGTCATTTTGATCTCACCATCAATATTGATAAAATGATTTCGAGAATGCATTGTGTAATGATTAAAAATGGAAACAACGAATCGATGAACATCGTGTAAGAAATTATAACGGTATTCACATCGAGTTGTTGAAGTTCCAAATCATGCATTTCAGCAATTCTAAGTAAATTACGGATGAAACTATGTTAAAAAACGGTATATATCTTTTGCAACAAGTCGCGTTTTAAATATGGCATCCTCCTTTTTTTGTACACCTATTTATACTCATTGGGTTCTTTTTCTTGAATAATTTGACAAGTTCCTTGGTTCTTTTCTAGAGACTCCATTTCTTCTTGAATTGTAGTATCTACATGTCAGAATCAGTTGTAGAAATTGCTTCGATATAGGATGACGACGTACTCTTTATAATTTTCAATTTCCTTGGCAACTAAGTAAACATAAGCTACTAAATTATCAACATTAGTAAACCTACTGTGAGGCCTAATAACCCTCCTAGGCCTATCGATTGCAATATAATGAGATTAGGGTGACCAACTTGAAGGAGTTGATAAAACATTGTTAAATGGGTGGAGCAAATTATCTTGATTTTCGTTATTTTCTGAAACATGTGCACCACCTAAATTAGCATATCATATCCACATGTATATTTGAAACATTTTTTCGATAAAGACACCAAATAATATAATATTTTTTTTCATCTTCGAAATGTAACAAACATTGATCAATCAATCATACTAGTAATGCCATCAAACAATCACACAATTAGATCCTTTAGCAGAAAGGGGGATCGTCCCAGTTGTTTTGCAAAAATCAGGGCTTTTGATTATAGAAATGGGGTGGTGACTCCATTATAGCCGATGATTATTCCCTTTTCTCAATAGGAGGAAGGTTTGTTATAGAAAGTAGATTATACAAATTTATTGTTGACATAAATCACGTAAATATAGATAGGCTCTTTGTACATATTGACATTAATTGTATCATTGTGAACCAAGGAAAATACAATGAATTTTATGGTATCAAGGAAAGAATACCAAAAACCCTAAAAGTTTATCTTCTCCATTTATGCCACCCTTATTCATCTTCTTTATTATTCAAACAACCACCTCTTCTTCAAAGGAACCGAAGAACTTGAAGGGATTTTGTTGCATAAAATAAATATTTTTTCACAAATAGTCGGCAACAAAAGATTTAAACTTTTCTTATAAACTTCAAGTCTAGCAACAAAACAAACCATCAATGATCCTTTTAAAGAGATTAGATTGATATTATAACAACCATAGGGTGCTTAGAAAATATAACATTTGTATCCTTTGGATCCTCTTGGATTTGGATTGTTGAAGTAGATGGCAAGAAAAAAGAGTTTGATCTCTGTACAAGTAATCCACCAACAAGAGTAAGGTACCAAAATTGTTAGATTTCTTATTATACAACTTTTTTCTTGAATCCTTAAGTGCTTAAACAATTAAGCACTAAAAGAAAGACAAAAGTAAACACCAAAAGCTTGTAATATCTTCGAAAGAGGAAAGAGCTCCAACACTACTAGAAAAAAGACCTTTAATGACGCGCAAACAATGACACTCGCTGATAGAGGACGCGCATTTGTGGGTGCCCTAAAAATAATGTTATCTCTCTTAAAATTTAAAGGATTTAAAACACGCATTTTTGCGTGCCCTGGAATTAGTGTCTAAAAAAACACGGAGGGCACCTATAATAAAACGTGTGTCGTTTAAGGGTGTTGCTTTATAAATTTTAATAGTAGCGCGTTCCATCAGGAGGGAAAAATGAAATCCCAATTACTTAAAAACCCCGCCTCCCCTTTTTAGGGTTTTTTTCAAGAACTTGCCCCGCCTTCCTCTACTGCACGTTCTTTCTTCTACATCTCCACCGCCCGATCACTCTATCTTTCCCTTCTCTTTGCAAATCCTAAGTTGGCGCCTTCACCATCGAACCCAAGGATCTGAGAGTCTGGAGTACGATTGATGATATCCAATCACCGGCGACTCTATAATAATTCTTTCTCATACTCGAACCCTAGATCTCGCCTCCTTCCATTCTACATCTCTATGGCGACCACGACTTAACAGAAACTCCACCATTCCACATCTCATACTCGAACCCTAGATCTCGCCTCCTTCCGTTCCTATATCCTTTTGGCACTTACCGATTCTTGTCCCTTCCCCGAGACAAACGTCGGTCACCTAAACTCAAATCCTCTAAGGATACCTGCTCCACCATTTTATTTAAGGTGATTTCATTTTCGAGATTTGATTATGTGAGCCCTAATTTGTATTCAGTTTTTATTTTTCTATCAAGATCACATGGTTTGATTTGTGTAAGAGTTTTTTCTGATTTGGGTGGTTTGTCTTTCCAAATTTTTGTTAAAAGTCATTTTATTTTTTAAATATACAATCAAGTACTTTCCCATAAGATTTTGAATACGCAAGTTCTTCCAATCGCTTCTTGTTGTTATCGGAAGTTCAATCAAATATGTATATATCGCAAGTTCTTCCAATCGCTGCTTGCGCACGTTTTTATGAAAATAAATGAGAGTGAAGCACTTTTTCCTCTTTAAATCAGCAGAGCACGATTCCTTCTGTTTCACCTGTTCGACACTTCCCTACGCTGCCACTTCTCTCCTCCTCACTGCGACCACAAGAGCATCATCTCGTCTTCCCAATCACGCCTTCCTCATTGTAAATTTAGTTAAGAAGGTACAAGATTTCCTCAAGTAATTGATCAATCTCTTCATCTCTTCTTCAATCCAATTTTCTGTGGATTTTTTTGTTATGGTTTTGTAGTTCTTCATTCGGCCTTCATCTAGTGTTTTTTTAATTCGCTTCCAAATCTTCATTGTTTCTCATTATCTGATATGAATCCTCCTTTCCTTTCTTTCTATTTCTTTGTTGATGATTCCATTTGTGGTTTGTAAGTGCACATAATGTGTTCGATGTATTGCCTCATTGACATTCCTTATGGTTTTTGACTTAAATTTCTGTTCTGATCCTTACCTGTCGGTTTATATCTCGATTTGCAGCGGACCAACTTTTGGAGATGCAGAAATAGACAGAGCATCATTGAAGATTGGAGAAAAGATTGCATCTGGATCATGTGGTGATTTGTACGTGTACACTGTTTGTTTCCAATTGCATTCCTAATTCTTACAAGTATCTTAATATCAGTTATTTTGTTTGTTGAAAGATTCCATGGAGAGTACCTTGGTGAGCATGTTGCTGTCAAGATTCTTAGATATGAACATTTAAATGATGAAACATTGGGGAATGAATTCTCTCATAAAGTAGTAGATCCAGGCTTTATTTATTTATTTATTTATTTGCATTTAAACATAACTAATATAAGGAAGGGTAAAGGGTGTACCATGAAGCCTCATCTCTCTGTTTGAGTCTTGTCTCCATTTACATGTTAGGAAGCTGTTAATGGTAGAAAATGAAACATAATTAAATTTTATTTATAATTTTTTTTATTGTTTTATGACAGGTGTGAGTGTGAAGAAGGATGTGATCGTGACAATCTCTTCTTGTGCATGGGTTTGCTATGAATCAGATGGTGAAATTGAGGCTCTACGTGAATGGCTGGAAGATGATGATGCAAAAGAGAAACAACTGAAAGAAAACATTAAAAAATGGCAAAGGAACAAATCCAATGATTTAAATGATGATCACATTGTGGGTCAAGTTGCACTTCAGTGCAGGTCATCGGTTCATTCCACAAATGTAAGGGCAGAAATGGAATAGAAATTTGGGGAAATATTCCGGTGTGAGTGTTTGGAATTAGTGGGACCTACTTGAAACCATTGTTTTTCATGCCACTACACATTTTCAACTAATTAGCAACTCATCAGTGTGAGACTGAGGGTATAATTGGAAAAAAACCGTGTGAAGTTCATGGGGGTATAATCGGAAATAACTGCTTGTCTTTACCAAAATTAACTGGGAAAGCTTATGAAATTCTTCAGTTTCTTAAAATAATTTTTGTGGATATTAAAGCTGATCTTCCGGATGAATCTTTTAGACCTTTAAGAAAAGACCCCTTCAGGCTACGGATTTGGCATGCGTTTCTAAAATCAGCGAAATAAATTAATGAGGTAAGCTTGTTAAAATTATCGTTTTGCCCTTGTTTTAACTTTTTCAATGACTTTTTAGAGTAAAATACAATTTTGGCCGTGAGTTGCACACCTTTTTATCAGTTTTAGTCCCCTGAGTTGCACACCTTTTTATCAATTTTAGGGTAAGCATTTATTTTTTACATCTACAACTCTAGTTTGCCCAAATAGATTATGTATGCAATATATGGTAATAATGTTTGGAACATTACATATTTACATTTAGGTTTACAATATCCAAGGATGACACAGTTATTCTTGATGGGGTTGGCGACAAAAAAGGAATTGAAGAAAGATGTGAACAGGTATTACAGTAGCTTTTTAACAATATATTTAATTTATGTACCTGAGCTTCCTAACATGTACTATTTTGTGTTTCTACAGTTGAGATCATCAATTAAATTGAGCACTTCTGATTATGATAAGGAGAAGCTCCAAGAGAGATTAGCAAAAAATTCTGGTGGTGTTGCCGTTTTGAGGGGACGATTCTTATTTTTGTTTTATTTCTAAATAATTTTGTTATGTAAATGATGTGTTGCTGTGATTGGTCAGATTGGCGGAGCGAGTGAAGCTGAAGTTGGTGAGAAGAAGGATAGAGTTACTGATGCTCTAAATGCTACAAAGACTGCAGTTGAAGAAGGAATTGTGCCAGGTAGATTAAATCATGTCCACACATGCTATTTACTAAGTATTTATTTTTAATTGTGATAATGATATCAAAAAATATACAATATAATATAGGTGGTGGTGTTGCTCTTCTATATGCTTCAAAGGAGCTTGATAATCTTATTACAGCTAATTTTGATCAGAAGATTGGTGTTCAAATAATTCAAAATGCTCTCAAGGTAATTCCCCCATCTTCCTAATAAAAAGCAGCTAGCAGTGTAGTTTTATTGTATATCTATTTTTGTTGCTGATATTTTATTGTTTATTGATTTTGTATGTGAAGGCACCGGTACACAGTAGCTGCGAATGCAGGAGTAGAGGGTGATGTTGTTGTTGGGAAACTATTGGAGCAAGATAACCCCGACCTTGGATATGATGCTGCTAAAGGTTCTCTTTTTCTGTCTCTTTGTTAAAAATATAAAATTTTCTTTTTGTTACAGTCAGTAATCATGATCAGTTGCAAGTCACAAGTGGATGAGCTGAGAACTGTAAAGGACTACTGGAATTTACTTGTGTACACTAACTTTAGAGGCTATAGTCCAAAGACATGGGATTCTATGTGATGCTGGAATCCTGATTGCATGAATTCATGGGATTCAATCTCATTGAGTTTCTACTATTGAGTATATGTGGGAGTGAAAAGCAAGGGGCAGTTTTGGTATTTATGATTAAGTGGGATGACATAAGTTATTAGAAGGAAAAGTCATTTTCCTTTTTGTTTTTAAACAATTTCTTTATAAATAATAACTCGCTTTTGTTGACATCAGCATAATGAAAATTCATTCTTGCTGAAAAACGTGGCGGATGGTCAGGTGCTTTTACACTCGGTAAGTTTGTTTTTCTAAATTCTTATAGTTTTTTTTAATCTGAATTTGTTTTTTTAATGCTATAGAACTCGGTTAATTCCCGGGCTTTGAGAATTCCATTCCCGTGGTTGGTCTTTAATGAGAAGATCAAAGCGAACTCTATTTTTCTCCTGGATACGACTGTTGTTTCCGATTCCGTCATGCTACTGTTTGGTAGAAGCATCTCAAAAGGCGATATAGAGAGTCTATTACCTTTTCTTACTCCATTCCTTTTTGATTCCATTCCATTTCATGATATGAAACAGGATGGGCACTTGAAAATGTTGGGAGGATACAAATAATTTAAATCTCTTACCTCTTATCATGCTTGTTCTCCTCATATCAAAAGTAAGTTTTTTCTTTTATTTTGCTTACAAGTTACAATTAGAATTACATTGATGAGTACAACAAGTTTTAGTTTTGAGTTTTGAGTTTTGACCATTTACCTTCCTTAGGCTGTTGGTGAAAGTTGACAGGTTTGTAACTTTGTCACTTCACTCGTGTGGTGAAATTTGCTGATGTAGCCGCTATTATGAGGACTAACAATCACAATGGCTTCCCTGTATGTCTGTCATTTTCCATTTCCTCTTCCCTTAAAGAAAAAAAGTTAGAAGTTACATCTCTACAATAACAACACATGACATTTAGGTTGTAGATCAGTCACGAAGTGGAGAAACAATGGTAATAGGTCTTATCTTGCGCATGTATAATTATAAACAATAAAATCTTAAACCCTAAACAGTTATTTTGTTAGCAGTAGCAGGCAGGCTTAAGAAGTTTATATGTTTGTGATACAATCACTTATTGGTACTTCTACAGTCGAAAGTAGATTTTCAGCATAGCCCATCAAGTAGGTAGATAAGTACTTCATTGGGCATTCTAATCTTTTAGGCTGAGAGGGCATTATTTCATTTATAAGACTTTTGCATAGATAGACAGTTAATATGAACCTGATGGATGTCTGATTTGCAATTTGCAGGCACAGTCTTAGCGACTTTGTGAAGCCTATTTCTAGTAAAGGACTATCCATATCTGATATCCATCTAACTCCAGATGATTTGGAAGCTTTGGAGGAAACGAGACTCAAGAAAAAGTAAACACATAGAGAGTTGTTGGCACATAGTAAGCTAGATGATGCAATTGTATATAAATGAGTTCATTTTTTTTATAACATTTACTCACTTTTGGAATAATTATTTGTATGACATATTAGTGAAATGAATTATCTTTTTTATTTATGGTATTTTATTTTGTATTGTGAGAATTTTAATGTATTATTTAATTTAAAAATTAGTAAATCTATAAATAATACTTTTTTTAAACATTTAAAATTATGATACGCAAAAATGTGTGTCATCTTCATTTATGACATGGCCTTTCTTGACAAGGGCTTTCTTGATACGCATTGCGTGTCATTAACACGCGCGTCGTAAGGTTACGACACGCCAATGTGTGTCGTCTTCCTTTATGACAGGGCCTTCCTTGATACGCATTGGGTGTCGTAAACGCGCGTCGTAATTGCGCGTCGTAAATGAGCGTCGTAAATGCGCGTCGTCTATAGACGATGCGCAAAAGCGCATCGTCTCTCTTTATGACAGGGCCTTCCTTGACGCGCATTTGCGCATCGTCTGAGCCTTTTATGACGTGCAATGAGCGTCGTAAAAGGCTGTTTTTCTAGTAGTGCAAGGTCTTGAAGCTCACGGTTTTGAGAGAGAAGAGAAAGAAGATTTTTGACCAAAAAGTTGTAATATCTTCATTCATAAGACCCTCTATTTATAACCTCATCCAAGCATGGCCTTTTGAATATTACATTCAAAAGTATGGGCTATAAAGTAAGACATGGGGGACAATATCATGGAGGTTGACAAGCAACATCCATGCTTCTTATACGTTTTCGGCCATATGGCCTTTTGAATAAAAATTGTTTCATTTGTCCTTTAACCATGGAAGAGTAAGCCCTTGATTTAATCATGCTTAACCAAAGCGTCCAAAACTTTTTACATGACTTATTTTATGATACCTTATCATATAAATGCTATTTTTCTACTTTTTAAAACATTGTTTTCATAGAACAATAATTTTTCTCTAATTAAATACAATAGTTTAATTTCTTTTTTAAGATCAAATATATAATAAATATTCAATAAGTACCAACTTGATGAAGGTGTGACCCTTTAGGATCATATGTTATTAGCAATGTCACTTAATAATGATTCTTATGCATATAGATCCAACAATCTCCCACTTGCACAAGATTCAATTAAAGACTGACATAGACAGTAGCTGACGTCTAGCAACGAGCTACTGCCCCTAATAACACACGAAGGGGTGCCATCAATCAACATCCAATTCCAGGAGCTCACTAGCTACAATTGAATTATAAGGTAAGTGTATCAATATTCTCTTTGTTACAGACATCATGTTGGATATGAGACATGGAACGTGATCATTCTCGTTTTACATCTAACTTTTAAGAAAGGTGCCTTAGATGTCTAACTCTCAATAAATAAAATGAACAAGTCCCATCTTGACCACATGCATACTCTCATATAGTTTGTTATACCTGACGAAGGCTTTTATAACTACACGGTTACGAACAGTGTTTAACCATGTCAAAGTATAACAATCCCCATACTTGAGTTCTCGAATATGCATCTCAGGTCGAAAGATATAAAGATATTTACATGTGATCAATATTCACTTATGATGTTGATCCATGAAGTAATTCTTGATGCGAGTCATATCCAATAGTTGTTCTCTAACAAGTACATATGAATTTGGATGCAACAATTTGCTATTTCACCTCTTGAAATAACCAAGCCGATTCATATTAGTCGTAATTCACAGTTGATCCCGCAACAGCGATTGACTATAGACAGATTTTGAATAATTACATTATTTAAGGAATGAATAACATGCTAATATAGAACACAACAATATTCAACACAAAAGTGATGTCTTATATTTAGAGGAGATTACATATTATTCATACATAGTTTTGAATATCCAGATATTAGTCAAGTACATATTTAAATCCAATCATGTCACACCCCCAAACCGGAACAGCAAAAACGTTTACGGGTGAAGGACGTCATGTACAGTATCACAACAATGCATAATA